CTACATTTGCTACAGAAGTTATTAATCTTTGTTAAAGAAAAATACAATTCTTAGTTCATGTTAGCTCATTAAATAACACAGTTGCAACTTTCTTTATTAATGATATATTAATATATTCATGAATGTTCAGAAAATTTTTTTCATTGGCAGTTTATGTTAACTAATGAAGCCCTAATGTAAAGTGTGACCGAACAATAAAGAATCAAAACACTTTCAAACAATATCTAGGGCATGTTGTAGTCCAGATTAAAATGTAAAAAAAGTTTGAAAATAAATAGCCTATTAAGTCTAAATATTTAAGTATTTGGTGCTGTGATGAACATCATAGCAAATACACAAATCTGAATGGCTGTTTAAATCATTTAAACACGATTCAGAAACAGAAAGTAGAGCAGCTGCTTTGTTTACAGGGTTTCATTTAAATGAATTATTATTATTATTATTATTTCTGCAGTTTAGCGCCATCTGCTGTCAGAGAGTGAAAGTGCACTTTCATCCAGAGCGTCTCTCACATGTTCCGCCATGTGCTTCTCGTCCGCGCTTGTTTACATCAGAGTGCGCACGCGTCTTTCACGCAGCATACAGCGGTGTTGTGCATTTTGACCAGTTGATGGGAAAAGTATTCTTAAAATGCATTCAAAATTCTGAATAACTTGTAATATATAATTATTCACGGTATTTAGAAGAGCCCACGATAACAATATCGTGCATATTCATTACCGTGATATATCGCATTACCGAAAACCGGCACAAGTCTACACCAAATACACAAAATAATGTTCTTTTTAGCAGCATCATATGACCCCTTTAAGAAATAGACCTGTGCCACTCATTATACCCCAATACAATCTTTGGATAATGCTTACAAACCACAAACTCACCTGAGCAACTAATAGATTTCTCAACATTTGTGTTGTAGGATAACCGACGATCTCACTTTCCAGAAGTTTTACTCTTGATTTCTTCAACATTATTCCCGTGAAGTATCCGTCATCGCTTCCTTTAATAACGGAGAACTTGAATGAGTAAATAACTCATAAATAGCTTCACTGTCTGAGCACAGAGGTCATTCTCTTACCTTCAACAAACAAGTAGCTGACAGCACGTTTCTTAAGATACTGAATATAAGATGGAATGAGTTCTTGAAGAAAAACCACATCTGGTGTATATCTACAAAAGAACAAAGGATAACATGAAACGAGGAGTTACGAGTAAAACAAACCAACTTTACTGTCAAATAAAATGAAATAGAGGACATCGCGGGTCTCTAAATAACTCACAGAACTAGATACGAACACAAGCCCCTGGCACGCTCTGCAAGACTTAATGTGTCCAAACCATCCACATTCCAGCTGATGAAGGAGAGCTTGCTGTCCTCCGCATTAGATTCGGTTACAACACTTTCAGCCTGACTTTCTTGGGGGTTCACACTGCTGGAGCAGGTGGGTTCCTCCGCTGTCAGGTCAATGCTGCACAACAAACAATTTGAAATATTATTTGGGATATATATAGATAGGTATAGTATATGTAGAGCAAATGCCGTTTTCAATTTCTAATAAATAGAGGAGAAAACATTACCAATCCATCTTGTCCGCCTTAAATTTCTTCTTTGTCCCTATAGTATCAGCAGGGTCTGAGGAATTCACCTCCTTTCTCTTCTTCCCAGACACATCTTTAGTTTCCTCTGCATCTTCAACATCAAAGACTGAATCCATATGAGCCTCGAAGAAAGAGTTCAATGCTCTCTGGCAGGAGCACAGAAATAAAAAAAGCTTTTTATAAGAACATCAGTGGTTGAAGAGAACTAAACATGCTTTACTCAATACAATTGTTTTTTTATGGAAACTTGGTGCAGTAGTAGTGCCATAAGTTACCTCCATATCCCATTCATTTTCTGCTAGATAACACTGCGCCACAGCACTGTCCGATCCAGAGACAGAGGCAAACTGATCGCAAAGACTCGTCCTCGTTTGCTCTAGGGCAGACATTTGTTGATCGGTGTGATTACCTGACATAACAGTGTTGGACATGTTCACGGTTCAATATAACGGCGGGACATGAACGCGTACAGCTACAAAAACATTCCGGGCGGAACCGCGAAAATACGGAGGCAATGTTAACATTAACGTATGCTTGTGGTCGCTGGACCTAATTTATTTACGCTGTTCTATAAATCACGAACTCAAAGTATTATTACCCTAATTTTTACATTAAATGCTGCAACCAGAGAGTGCCGATCTGAAGAATTGTTATTGCTCAAATAGAGGCTTTTCGGAAGCATTTAACTGTAGCACTGAAAGAGTCGGTTCTTTCGAACAGTTCGTTTCAAAACTGAAACGATTCAGCGATTCTTTTAGCATGATCTATATAAATTCTGTATTATATATAGATCAGTGGGTCCCTGGCCAGCCAGTGCTCTGAGCGAATAATATAGAAGTCAAATAATGTCTAAACACGTGTGTGCCAGTTCAGTTTGTTTGTTTCTCCTATGCGACAGCGAATAAAATACAAATAAATGTATAACTTAAAATAGTTAGCATTAGCAAATTCAAAATTTAATTATGTTGCCTTTACGTTTAAATTGCTTCAGTCGTGTTCTTGAATGAGTCGTTCAGGTATGTTTTGTTCATTCGATTCATTGAAAAGACACGACTCAAATGAGTCATGAATGACCCAGTATGTCATAATAAAAGTCCTCATAGCCGAATGGTCAGTCTTAGTTCTGTTAGTATTCATATATTGACTTATTAGATTTAGTTGACCTAATTAGATGAATACAATGCAGTTTTTCATTAGTTATCTGCCGTTCTCGTCGTTGTGGTCTAGGGACTTTGCCTAGGAAAATAATAATAATGCTCTTATTTTGTACAACATTTGGGCCATCTTTCAACCGTTCTTCAAGGGTGATCCTGTCCTTCACTGAGTTTTGGTATTTGCAGTATCAGCGATGATGTCAATGTCGCTAAATACAATAAAACAGATCATGAGAGCGATGGTGGATAGTCCTGGATTTGACCGGGTTTTAAGTAAGGTAGGTGTCGAACGAAATCTTTGGTTAAATTCAGTGCTTCTCCTTGGAGATCCACACATTGATATGTAAACCAGCCAGACCAGTTCACTCTGCAGTAAACCTACTGAGACGATCGACCATGTTGTGCTCAGGTGGAGGTATTGTCAGCAGCCCCTGGGAAAGTGGTGTGTGAGCTGAAGGTGGAGGAGGAGCACACTAACAGAGGTGGCACTCTTCACGGAGGACTGACAGCCACACTGGTGGATGTGATCTCCACCACTGCCATCATGTACAGTGAGAGAGGAGCTCCGGGGGTCAGCGTGGACATGAGCATAACGTGAGCTTTTGTCTTTGTGTTTGACTGATACTGTATACAGGACTCCTGTGTCATGCATGTGGAAGACCGGGGAGAGGCAGTTTTAACATGAAGTGACATGACATCTGACGCACAGATACCATTGGCACATGCCGCTATGTGATGCTTCCGGTGGCACTTCCGGTTTTCAGTGGCATGTGTCACTAAAACCTGTGACATGTCAATGGACTGCGTCTTGTGTCAGTTGCCGCCGGGTGTCGCTGCATAACGTAGATTGCGTGACACACGCAATTAACGGCAGAACGATATTGAATTAATTAACAGTATGTTGCTGTCAAACATACGATTTATTACATCGCGGAGTTCATTTGTACAACAAATATTGAGTTCCTATAAGATTAAAATGTGTCTTATGCCCCTTAATGTGTATTTTTCATTGTAAGTTTATTTCCAGTAGCCTGCTTTGTGCAATGCATTGTGTGTGTGTGTGTGTGTGTGTGTGTGTGTGTGTGTTTCTTGTTACACAGTTACAATTATAAACAAAATTACATTTAATTCCTATATAATTATTATATTACTATATAAAATATTAAAATCTAGACTTGCATTACATTACAGACTTACATTACATTGCGTTGTGAAAAGCCTGTGTCAAGGTCAAGCACACTTCTGAATGGTTGGTGTAAGTTTCATAAAGCACGTTAGAATAGTAGACATCATAATGGTTTGTGGCATTTTCTCATCAGTTTATATTTATATGTAGGCTAATTCCTGATTGGCAAGTATCAGTTAGTGGTGGCACATTTGATTAAAACGTTTCTAATTACAAATGATACAGCTGAACTGTCAAATCTATGCAAAAATGGAAAAAAAACGCGTATTTACGTATTTGAATGCATTGCACAAAGCAGGCTACTGGAAATAAACTTACAATGAAAAATACACATTAAGGGGCATAAGACACATTTTAATCTTAATATAGGAACTCCGTTTTTGTTGTACAAATGAACTCCGCGATGTAATAAATCGTATGTTTGACAGCAACATACTGTTAATTAATTCAATATCGTTCTGCCGTTAAGTGCGTGTGTCACGCAATCTACGTTATGCAGCGACACCCGGCGGCAACTGACACAAGACGCAGTCCATTGACATGTCACAGGTTTTAGTGACACATGCCACTGAAAACCGGAAGTGCCACCGGAAGCATCACTGAGCATAGCGGCATGTGCCAATGGCATCTGTGCGTCAGATGTCATGTCACTTCATGTTAAAACTGCTGCTGGGACCGGGGCAGTAACTCATCAGTGTTGTTACTGTTAAATAAAACTAATTGTTTTCGCAATATGAATGAATAGAAGTTTTGAAAACATTAAAATTAAAATTTAATTTAATGATTTTTTTAAATTAAAAAAATAAGAAATGTTGCAACTGCCTACTAAAATTATTATACTATTAACTAATAGCATTACTAGAATTAAAACTGAAAAAATACAAATAAATTAAAGCTATATTGGACTATTAAAAACGACTAATACAAAATACAAAAGCACATGGCAAAATTACTAAAACAAACTAAAATTTGATTGAAATATAAAAACAAAAGTTTCAAAATATAAACAACTACTATAATAGTTACATAAATGCAGTGGGTTGTATGTTGGTTTCATATACCTAGCTCAAAACAGTCTTTACATTTTAATTATCTTCTCCAGACTATAATTTCAATATAATATTGTACAACTGGGCCCGTATTCACAAAACATCTTAAGGCTAAAAGTAGCTCATAACTTGCCGATTTAGGAGAAAATCTTAAAAATAATGGGCGTGTCAGTCCTACATTTAGGACTCCTACATTTTTGTTCTAAGAGTATTTCACAAAGCGTTTTAGCGCTAAAATTAGCTCTTAAATCTGTGAAATGTTAGGAGTAGTGTGTCAGTCCTAAATTTAGGACTCCTACATTTTTGTTCTAAGAGTATTTCACAAAGCGTTTTAGCGCTAAAATTAGCTCTTAAATCTGTGAAATGTTAGGAGTAGTGAAGAGGACTCCTAAGTCACTAAGACCAAATCTGAACTATCCTAAAATGGCTGTTGCCAGCAATCTACCTCGAGTCGGAATATAGACATTTTAGAAACATTTGACGATAATGAGCTTTTAAAAAGGTATCGGCTTTGGTTTGGAGGCTATCCCAACTCCAAATGTTTGATTATGTCCTTAATATATAGCTGTTCTCGCGTCCAGTTTGGTTTTCTTTTGTTTGCATGTCTTACTATCAGCCATGATTATTCTACTCTGCAAATTAAATGGCTGTTTATATGCATATTACCAAAATTGTATGTCGCAGAAAAAAAAATTCCACATTAAGTGGCGAAATCACGCACTCCGTGACGGACAAATCATTAACGGCTGGTCTTTGTGGTACACATCGGGCAGGACATATGCTCTCCTAACATTCATCGTTTATCATCTGAAATATGTATGTAGCAGCAACTTTACATGGCAGCTCAATCTAATGTTAGCCTAGAAAAAAGTGCGCAGTTCACGTGTTTGTTCACGTGGAAAGTGGTTTCATATTTTTGCCATTTTATATGTACTCGACTCGTAATTGTATTAGGCCGTTAGATGTCAGGTTGCTACTGTGACATATTGGGGCACGTTGTCACAAAAGTGTTCAACTGTATCTTTTCCCTTGGTTAATAATGACAGAAATGTTCAATAGCTTTTTTTGTGTTGTTGTTGAATAAAAGTAAAATAATAAAGAGAAATAAGTGTGACAAATAGTCTCAGTCTCAATTAAAAAATAAAATGACACCCATTCATCATCTAAAATGTACTCAAATTTGTTTGCTTTCTATTTAACAGATACATGAATGCAGCTAAAATTGGAGAAGACGTCCTGATCACAGCTCAGGTTTTAAAACAAGGACGGACATTGGCATTTGCAACAGTAGATCTCACCAACAAGGCGAATGGAAAACCCATTGCTCAGGGAAGACACACTAAACACCTCGGTAGCTGATTATGTAACTGACGTGAAACATGTTGTTCTTTGTTACAAAATAAACTCCAGCATAAAAATCGTTGCACTGTGTTAGGATATATTCAGCAGTTTATTTCAACAGAATTATTCAAACAATGGGTACATCAAAGTAAAGACAAAGACCCACCTTCTCCTTCGACGTGAACTCAGAATTTCAAATATATTTTTAAAGGATTTTTATGCCTGAAGAACGGACAAAGATGGCTTACAGATACCAAGTCCTAAGCACTGCAATATTTAGTACTCTCAGAACAGGGTGGTCTATAAAAGAAAAACAAATCTGTAATGATCCATTTCAAGTTTCACTACGAAATTTCTCATTAGGTACATAAGCTTTAACATTAGTCTCCCATCACATACCCACCACCAATGATTACATCCGGTATCAGTAGCTCGTATGTATATCTAGTGCACGAGTTGCTCAACTGGTGACAATTACCATCCCAACTATCCCAAGAAAAAAACCACATCAGAATTCCTCCAACAGACAGTTTGTCAACCATTTTAGATATACATCACACACCGCACCTCCGTCCCCATCAGGCACCACTCCTCCAGAAATGATAAAACAAACAAGGTTTGTCATATTATAGGCAAGGAATGACACTCAAATTAAAATGTCCAGCAAAAACTAAGGCAGTAACTGAATGAGAAGCAATGCCTACACCAAATGAGTTAACAAGTGTTGTTCACCTTGTAATAGAAGCCTTTTGAGGAAGACTACCCAGGCTCTTTTGTCCTGTCACTGACTGTCATTACTCATGAAATCCCTACTCAATATAACAGACATGTTAACTATCCCTCATAACAGTGATGTTAAAGCCAGTCCAACACACGAGGACCACACGTGAGAGACCTCTGTCATTGGTTTCCTTTTTCTTGTTGTTTTGTTTTCGTAACGTAAAGAGTTCCTTCGGTGACTGGTATTGTTGACGGTGCAGCTCCAAGAGAACAACCACTCAAAATCAATGTTCATGCAGGTTCAAATAAAAACTGATCAAAGAGAGGGGAGATGGGAAGAACCAAAGCAAGATTGGTTGAGGAGGGATTTAAAAAAAAAAAAAAAGAGCTAAATTAAATCTCACAATGAAAATGAGTGGTTAACAAAAAGGAGAGTTCCAAGCACAAGTTCATATCTATTCAACTGAGGGATGTGTAGATGAGGTCAACTTGCTTCGAGGCCTCGAGGGGTGTCTTCCGTGCATTTCTCCTAGTCAGGCATGTATGGGCGGAGGTGGTCCTCGATGTCTCCAACCCCCCAACAGGTGAGCTGGTCCTGTGGCAGGTAGAGACAGAGGCTGCACAACTTGAAAACTGTGAGCTTGGTTTTTGGAGTCTGTTGAAGAATGAGATGACAAAAGAATATTAGACTATTCTTAAATACTATATGCAGTAAATATCTGGTATTGCAAGGTGTATAGTTATTAGGAATTCAATAATATTCTGGGCAATGCTGATAAGCCAATAAATTATTTCAATATGTTATTGCCAAGAACCAAAAATAACCAATATTAAAATAAAAAAAACCAGGTTATTAAATAGTATACAGTAAATATTAGGTTATACGTTTTGCAGTTATTATTGATTAATTGATATTAAAATTCTGGCCAATTAAGATTACAAGGAAATTATTTCGGTTACTGTCAATAAACAATAAAATCACAGATATAATAAATGGTTAATATATATTTAGTTATACAGTAAATATTAGGTTATTATACGGTGTATAATTGGCAATCACTAAATTAAATTCTGGTTACTACTGATAACCAAAAAAATGTTGTTATTGTCAATAACCAATTAAAATGGCCACTGTAAATATTCTATTAAAAAATTATATTAAAGGGGTCATATGATGCAATTTCAAGCTTTCCTTTCTCTTTGGAGTGTTTTCAAGCTGTTCGTGCATAGATAAAATCCCTAAAGTTGCAAAGACTAAAGTCTCAAACCTAGAGATATTCTTTAAAAAAAAAGTGAAGACTCATCAACACCCTCCTAAAACGCCTCGTTTAAACACGCCCCGTTTAAACATGCCCCCACATGTCTACGTCACTGTGTGGGAAGATTTGCATAACACCGCCCAAATGTATACGCAAAGAAAGAAGGCGTAACTTTGATTCTCGCTGTAGTATTGTTGCCAACTGCCACCATGTTGTGAAGACG